CTAGCCTGCACAGGGAAATGACCAGATAGAGCCAGCTTTTGCATAGACCAAACTTCACCTTTTGTCATCCAACCGCCAAACTGTCAAACAGTTCACAAAACATGCCAAATGGAGAAAAAAATATAGTGAACCACAAGAGCTCCTTTGGAATCTCTGCCTTAGCTGCGAAATAATTACCAAAAACGCAGGTGTGATGCAGGTCACTTTTTCCAATCTGCTTAAAGAAACCAATCCCCTTAAAAGGCAGACTAATATATATTGTAATTTATGTCATATTTCACCAACTGACAAGGGAAGAATAAGATCAAATTGTAAAAGCAACATGGTACATAAGGTTTCGCATAAAACATAATGTTGATGAGGTCCAAATTAAACCATAACTATAACTAGGATTTTGGTTAGTGCACTGAGTCCTCTCTTGGAAAAAGTAATCTCACCATATCAGAGTGCCTTCATATAAAAAAGGTAGATCACGGACAACATTCTAATTGCAAATGAAGTCCTCAACTCCTTCAAGAAAACAAAAGGCACCAAAATGTGCTGTAGCTAGACATGGAGAAAGCCTTCGTAGGCTGGAATGGAAATTTATTGAGTGCCTTGGAAAACTCGGATTTTGTGAAAAGGGGATCCAGTGGACCATGGAATGTATTTCCTTTGTGTCCTCTAGAATATTAGTCAATGGCCTTCTAGGACCAAAATTCCATGTGTCTAAAGGAATCAGACAAGGAGACCCCCTCTCCCCAAATATCTTTATCCTTTGTGCTGAATCCCTAACTAGAAATATTTGTGCCCATACGGAGAAAAGAAAGTCTAACATGGGGTGCAAGCCTCCAAAAATGGTCCAAAGATGCCTCTGATGCAATTTGCTGACGACTGCCTCCTTTTCTGCAGAGCCTCTCTAAATGGGTGTAATGAATTGTTGGAAATCCTAGAGGACTATGAGAAGGTCGAACAAAAGGTAAATTACAATAAATCAAGAATCTTCTCCTGAAAGAACACTCCAAAGAGATGCCAAAAAATCAAGGAGACTAAGGATGCCAATTTCCAAAGGTAAAGCCAAATATCTGGTAACTCCAGTTTTGAGTGGAATTGCTAAAAAAAGAGAGAGAGAGAGAGAAATCTCAAAGACATAACAGAGTTCATAACAAATTACAATGATGGAAAGCCAACACTTTCAAAAGCTGACAAGACCACTCTTATCAAATCAGTGACCAATGTCATGCTTCCCTCTCCCAAAATCCACAATCAGACAACTATACAAAATTTAAAGGGAATTTTTCTAGGGAAAATCTAGAAGATGGAAACCAATAGTGTGTGGACAAACTAGAATAACATTTGTAAACCCATTAAGGCAGGAGGCTTGGGATTAGGAAAACCAAGAACATAAATGTGGCCTACATGGCCAAATTAGGTTGGAAAATTTTGATGGGAAAAAACAACTTATGGGCCCAAGTGATTAGAGCAAGGTATCTTTCCAAAACAAACTTCCAAGCAAGCATAGTTTTCAAGGCTCCAAGGCAAGGCTAGGCGACAGGGGGGCACCTTGTCGCCTAGGCACCCACCTTGGCAATGGATTTTTTTTAGGTAAAACCATATATCCTAGGGTAGTTGCCTAGGTTCTATAACCATCTTTCCTTAATAATTATCCATAATTTTCATAAGATAAGTATAAATTTCATGTTTAAATCTAGAAAATCAACATTTTATGATAAGAAAAAGAAGAAAGGAAAGAAAATTCAAAAACATATAGGGGCTGAACCCTACTTTAGTTATAGGAAAAGAAGAAAAGAAAAGGTGAAAGAAGAAGAAGATGTGGAAGAAGAAAATGTGTTTATTAGACAAAATTTTAAATTCTTCCCTTGCTTATTGGTTCAGGTTTTGAAATCTTTGAGGGTTCAATCAAGGATCAAAATTTCGATACGATATGCCCCGTATCGGGCATATTGTATTGTAACTTTGGGGCCCCAATACACCTGTTTATAGGTGTTTTCAGGAACCCATTTTTTTAAATAATATATATAATTATATTTAAAAATGAAATTGAAAACCAAAAAAAAAGGGGAAGTACCGATACACCTCTGCCAATACACATAGGTGTATCAATACTTTGAACCATGGGTTCAATACAACAATTTGTGTTGATTAAACCCTAACAAAACTGCTTGGAGATTGGGTGAGGCGAGCCTCCAAGGGCACCTTGTCACCTTGGCAACTATGCAAGCAAGAATAAAGAAAGGAAGCTATTCTAGCAATGGAAGGGCATTCTAGAGAATAGAGATCAGATTCAAAGAGGGTCCAAACGGACTGTAGGAGATCGGAAAACGTCTACTTTTGGGTTCATAATTGGAGCAGGGATGGACCCATCTATAAACAAGTTGGATTAAATGATTTTAAAAATACTGATTTGGAAGCTAAAGTAGACCAGTTTATCAAAATTGACACGAAAACTCGGGACATCCGAAAGCTAGAAGCAACGATCCCAAGATATATTGTTGAAAGGATTGCAGGAATTTACATCCCTCAAAGCTGGATGGATAATAAATTGGGGGGGGAGGGGGTTCTAAAGGAAATTTTACCAATAATTCTGTAACCTAGGCCCACACAAATTTTCTGAGAAATGAAGAGAGGCTAATTCAACAAAAGAATTTCCTTTGAAAATTGAATATTCAGCCCAAGATAACGATTTTTTATGGACGCTCATAATGAACAAGCTGCCCACTAGGCACAAACTGAAGTAAAAGGATTGGAGCTTAGATCCAAACTGCCAATTTGCATTGCAGGGAATTGAATGAAACAATGAAGCACCTTTCTATTAATTGCTGTGGAGCCAAACAAGTATCCACTGACTGAAGAAAGGTCTGGAGAAGGTTCCTGAGGGGTATTCTAATGCAAGGGCTTTATTGGGGTGGGGTTTATTAAAGGGGTTGGGTCTTGTTTTGGGTTCAGGATTTTGCTTTGCCTTTTTGGTGTTTTTGGGTTTGATTTCTTTACCCTGTTATTAAAATCTAGGGTTGAAGAGTTGTGTATTGGTGGACAGTGGATGTTATCCTGGGGGTGATATCTTGTGACCTGTTTGCTTTATCTCCCATTTTCATTAAAAAATTTCTTTTTAATTTATTACCAAAAAAAGGGAAATTGTCTAAAACTCACCATGAGTTTTCAACATTTCTCTTAAACTCACCACAACTTTTCAAAATGTCTAAAACTCACCATGTCAGTAAGTTTTTATTTTCCAAAACTCACCTTCCGTTAGTGTACCGTTAATGCTTCTTAACAGAGGTGTCCGTGTCAGCATAAATAACAATTTTTATGACCAAATTACCCTTGAATGGTGAGTTAGAGAAAAAATGATCTTTTTCAGTTTTCAATTTTCATTTTTTTTTTGCTTTTTTAATGTTTTTTATAATTTTTGTTTTTTTACATTTTTCTATTTTCTGCAATCTATAAATTTTTTGTGTTTTTTACAATTTTTATTTTCTGATTTTGTTTTTCAATTTCTATAGTTTCTATAATTTGAAAATAATTTTTATTTTGTTTGCAATTTCTTTAATTTTTTATATTTTTTGTAATTCCTATATTTTTATGTATTTTATATTTGAAAATATTTTTTTGAACTTTTTCCTTTTTTCATGTCTAAATATTAAAATGGTAATATATTAACACCTGTTAATTTATTCTGTATATATTTTATACTTTTCTATGAAGATTAAAATGGTAATATATTAATGCCCGTTAATCTGTTTAACGTCAAGTTTGGGATATGGTGAGTTTTAGATATTTTGAAAAGTTGTGGTGAGTTTAAGAGAAATGCTGAAAACTCATGGTGAGTTTTAGACAATTTCCCAAAAAAAAAATATCCTATAGGCCCCAAACAAAATGAAGACTTAACAAATTGGTTCTTAAGATCAAAAAATCATAGAGACAACAAGTCTATAGGAAAAAAGATGGCATATATAACTTGGAACTTATGGCTTCAAAGAAACTCTTGTGCCTTCACAAAAGTTAGCTTCAACCCAATCAATCTTGTCAAGAAGGCAGCTAGGGATTTGAAGGGCTTCCAAGAAGGTAACAAGATTAATGCAATTCCAACGAAAGTAGACATCAAATTTGACAGAAGCCTCCCCAATCAAACTTCTTAATGAACTTTGATGCTTCGGTCAAGGTCAAAATGGTCAATCATCAATGGAGATGCATCAATTGACTGGGTGGCAAGAGACTCCAACAACATCATCAGCTTAAACTCTAAGTGGATATGCACCAACTTGATTAACACCACCAAAGCCTAGGCAGCCAAGGAAGCGTTGGAAGAAATCTTACACAGCAACTTTCTTTGTATAGAGCTTTAAGGGAGTCTAAACTCACAATGGATTGTATTAGAGGCAAAGTGGAAGTGTGGAACCACTGTGGCACACTAAGACTACCCAAGACGTTAAAGTGATGTTAAACGATAGCTGGAGAAGAATCAAAGTCAGTCAATCATATATAGAGAGAGGCCAACCAAACTAGTGGACTTAAGAAAGCCAGGGCCACATGGACATGGAAAGTCAAGACTTGAGGAGATGGTGTGAAAGGATCAGGGTGGAAGACTTGTGGGTTGCAATACCCCAAGACTTTGTTAGTGCTTTCTTCCCTCTTTGTATCAATAAATAAATAAACCAATGTAAGGCCCCCAATTCTAGAATATAGTGAACTCCCCTCAACTTATCTAAGGACTTCAATGCATATTCAGAATCATGTTATCTTCTATAAACATCCCATATATCCTTGTGTATCTTTTATAAACAGTTCTCTATTTCCTCATGTTAGAGTTAAACAAGCATGGACACCCAATCTTCTGTCTCTAAAGCTTATCGTCCATTTTTGTATAGGATAATGCAACATTGCACAGTGCCTCATTGTGCATAGCCGATACTGCATAATGGAAATACCTTACCTTTTCTCAAAAAATTTAAAAAAAAAAAAAAAAAAGAGCTTATGGCCCAGCCTGAAGAGTGCCTTACCTCATTTTTCCCAGGCAATATTGGTTTTCCATGCAGAAGTTCTGCAAATATACAACCAACTGACCACATGTCAACAGCTGGACCATATTTTGTGGTTCCAAACAGCAATTCTGGGGGTCTGTCCAAACAAACCATCACCAACCTGAACCATTAATCAAAAGTGGTACATATTTTTGAAAAGAAGGTTAACTACATGGATATCAATATCATGTCCATGTTAGCCAAATATATAATTGTTTACCTATACCACAAAGTAATAACACGATTTGTAAGAGTTGCATTGTGGTCATTGGAGAATGACCGTGCAAGCCCAAAGTCTGCAAGCTTTAGATTTCCTTGATTGTCTATTAGAAGATTAGAGCCTGCCAATAACAAATTTAGTATACATATTAACCTGCCTCTGAAATTTAATGAACTAGTACAAAAGATGTAACTCAATTTGGTAAGAACCTTTGATGTCACGATGAAGCACTTGATTGACATGACAGTAATGAAGCCCAGTCAATAGTTGTCTCATATAGCACTGAGAAGAAAAACATAAGCAAATTGGCATCCATCAGTTATTACTAAGACAACTTGTACTTTTCCAAGCTATGTGGCTTTTTGGTACCTTGATCTGGGGAACTGAAAATCTCATTCCAGGACGATCTGAAAGGCCCGTTAAATCATGATCCATGTATTCAAAAACCATGTAGATGCTACCCTTGTACTTGTTACCATCTACAATACTCAACAAAATTTAGCTTTTGTTATATACTTTGTGTATCTCCAATAACTAGTAACCAAGAAATTTAATAATTGAACCTTTTTCACAAGGCATAACAGATCAGGACTCATTTATTACAATGAGAATAATAGTACACTTCATCAAAGGAGAAAACTGATCCAAGAGGCCCAACTGCATATAAATGCTGAAAACAATCTACCAAGGATGGCTAGTCCAACAATAAAATACATCTTCACCCTTTATCTTGCAGGAGAACCAGATAGATCATTAATTGATTTTCTCACCCATCAAAAGGGCAAGATCAATCTAGAAGAAACATGGATGCTCCCAGCTGAAAGTATGAGGGAAAAAATGACAGCTCAAAACCCACAGGAAAGAAACTACTGTAAAAAATTGAATCCCAAGAAAAAAGAAACCCCTTTTGATACATCCACCCTAGCAGAATGACCCTCAGAAAGTGTAAAGCACAAGAGCAGGAAAACCACCAAATTCAAAAGAGAAAACCCAACAGAAACCCAAAGAGACTGCTAGTACCAAGAAGAATTCTGAAAGACTTGGAAGAAAACTACATGGCCTTCAAAATTTGAACAATTAAAGAACCCGATACTATCATCACAAGTTTCTCAAATGGGCACCACAAGAATCCGAACCTCTACATGCTGAGTTGACTTGTAAATTATTTCAACTGCTTAACGCATCCATTCAAAGGACCAAAAGAAAATCAGAATTGTAATTAAATCTTAATATCAGCACCCCCATCTTCCTTCTGTATCCTTCCTCTAGTTCTGAAAAACTTTTATCACAAGCAATGTTGCATCCTCAGCCTTGATATTCATATTAAAGAACTTTTGCAATAAGGATTATCAACCACTCAAAGTAATAATTGGAAAATGAGAGGCATGGAGTGGCATCAATAACTCTAAACTATATTATATACAACACTGAACCACTAACCCGGTTTTCCTTGCTCATCCATTTCAGGACCTGAAAGACAACAAAAAACACCTTGTAAATCCAAATATGAGATATTGGAAGAACTGAGTTAATTCATTGAGCACATGTAAGAAGGAAGCAAATATGCAAACTCAGAAAATAAACATACCTTGGGAGGTGACAATCTCTTTCAACTTGATTATGTTTTCATGATGCAACTTTTTTAGAATTTTAATTTCACGTATTGCAGTTATTGGAAACTGCAGTAAAACCAAATTGTTTGAATATTCTAACATTAATGTTAAACAGCACAAACATGTTGTGTCCGGATGAGCTACAAAGGAATGTACAACAGGCTACAGAACCTTCAAGAGTTAATACACCAATGCTCTGCACACATAAGGTCTGGACCGCATGTATACAGAAAACTAGTGTGTTCACTCCTGATTGGTTCCATAACCCATTGTACACACCTTTGTTTGTAGTTCATCCTGCTCCAAACATCTCTACCTATCTACAAAACCCAAATACATAACTAATAAAATTATCAATATAACAAGAGAAAGACTGACCATACCCCTTCTCTTTCATTGTCCATCCGTATCTTTTTCAAAGCAACAATTTCCCCTGTTTTGATTTCTCTAGCCATGTACACTTGACTGCAAAAATGGCACCATCAAATTAGAGACAAGCTAAAAATTATTTTAATTTGATTACTATCCATAAACAGAAAATACTAAGAACCAGATTTTTTTTTTTTGATAGATTCCTATAAACCAGATATTCTTTATGAAAATCATTAACAGAGATCTCTATGACTACGCAATTCTACACTGGCCATCAAGCAACACTACAAACTCCAGAACAACTTATATCGTGATAAAAAACTACTGTACATGAGAAACTTCTTTATGAATAATTTTAAAAAGTTCATTTATTAAAATGATAGAGAGAATAGGTATTGATATAAACTCTGGATACAAGAAAACACTCTAAACAGTGTTAAGAACCAGTTTGGACAGGCAAGATTCTTGGATTCCAGAGTGAACCACTTATTCCACTGAGTTCCTAGATCAACCAACTCAATATATCTGGTAACTTTTCAAGATGGAAATGATAGAGGATGAGCTTTTGGGGGTTATCCTTACAACATCGAGGATGTAGTTTTTTTCCTTTCAGACTCGTACTTTTTTCGGTAAATTTTCAGCTCATACTTGAACACAATATTTAATCACACTGATCAAGAGCCGGATTCATCACAATAATGTTAACCACAAAAAAAAGACCACGTCGTATATTATATCTTATTAGCCTTTTGATGGCGTATCTATTTGGTGTAATCTTCATTTCTAGACGTGGGGAAAACACACACAAAAATATCCAAAATTGAAATAAAATATCAATCTTTCACAGAACAGTTGAGTGTTGACTTGGCATTCTAATAAACGGACTGATATCATCTGGATGGGAGAAAGAAGCATGTAACAAAAAATAAGTAACAACAGTAAAGTTCTTAGCGTGGAGAGGACAGAAGGAGACAATATGAAAATGAATAAATAAACGACTTTTCTTTCTTTCTTTCTTTCTTTCTTTCTTTCTTTCTTCTTCTCTTTTTTTACTCACCCATATGTTCCTTCGCCAATCTGCTCCAGCTTCTCGAAACAGTCGACACTTCGAGATCCCCATGAGGAAGACTCATCAAGATTAAGCTGACCGGGAGCCGCTACAGACATTGTCGCACCTTGCTTAAACCAACACCACTAATGGTTTGAACAAAAGAATGAAACCAAAAACATGAGTGCAAAAACGATCACTAGAAATTTGCAGGTGTATAAGAAAAAGAAACATGAATAGAGAACCAATCACTAGAAGTTTGCATGCAGGTATAACAAGACATTTGAAAGATATTTTTTATGAGTAACTAATTAGCCGTGCCTGCTAAAACGGTGGTATAAGTGGAATTTTAGACTCCTCTTCTTCGCAAGTCTTGCGATTACTTCATATATCATTAGCGAGCCTCTCCATTGAAACTGACATTTTCAAATCAAACTCTAGATTCCATTTAAAGTTGTCATTCTTTGCTCTCTAACTAACTTAACTTCATGGCCGGCACAGCGCAATTCTAATTCGAATTTTGGCCCAATACAGCTGGAGAGCTTCATGAATTTCTTCAATGTGTGGTAAACAAAAACCTAGTAACTTAGACGAAAGGAAACCCGACGAAAACAATAAGCAAGAAGAAAACCCTAGAATTTCGAACTCAGTAGCTGCATTCACCTAACGACCGTACATGGTTATTACTTTTCGAAGCTGGGCTCTGTCAAACGTGTTCTTCGCCTTCGATGGCCATAGTTTCTCCTATTCATAAAAAAGCACTTCTGCAATTAAACCGTCGGCTTCGCCGTTGTCGTCAGCATTGATGCCGTCAATATCCATTGTCGTTCGACAAAGACACGGTTGCAGAATGCAGACACCATCTTGTCCTCGCGGGAACATACAACAAGAGTACTCCGATTTTTCTTTCTGGGTTTTGACTCAACCAGGCTTTTTCTGGATTTTGACTTAACGAAGGATCATCACGTGCGAAGAAACGTTTGGTTGTCGTCGGATACTCGGATTTAAAGACCGCATCTGCTCCTCACACCGACCTACGATATCTCCTGTGAATAATAAATTAATAACGTATAAATACAAAAAATATTCATGTATTGGGAATATCTCCCGTTGTTATTAATTATAATTCACGGAAAATGTTATCAATGCATAGTGGATGTGCCTATGAGACGTCCATTGGTGAGTAGCAAATCCCATCACTTCCCGCGACGGTTAGTTCAAATATTTACTCACGAAATGTTCTTACACGTCTCTACTAGATTTGTTCATGGGCCGGGTCGGGTTTTCATTCTTTATTAACAGATTTTTTTAAGGCCCGAGCCCGGCCCTCATAAAAAGCCTGAAGCCTAGGCCTGGGCCTAGGCCTAAGCCCGAAATTTATCCCATATTGTTACTACTGCTGAAGCGACTGAATAGAGAGAGAGAGAGTGAGAGAGAAATTATAAAGAAAAAAATATAAAAAATGTATATATTAAATTATAAATATATATATATATATATTTCAATAAATATTATATTATTTATATATTTTATATAATATAATTATGTATTTTATAAAATATATAATGATGAATCAAGTCGGGCTAGGCTTTTTTGACAAATCCCGAGCCCAGCCCGTAACACAGTTGGGCTTACTACATTAGGCCCGAGGTCAAGCCCGACCGGGGTGCAGACTGGGCCATCGGGCTGCCCAGCCCATGAACAGGTCTAGTCTCTACCTACAAAATACCACCACCGTGTATTGATAACATCTCCCTATCAATGAAAAGGGAGATATTCCTAATGGGCAGATGTTATGTTTCCTTGGGAAAGATGTGAGACCCAATTGAATTTTAAACACGCCAGTATTTTACGTGATATTTGAAGCTTCGGATGGGCTCCTCACGAAGTGCGCCCACAGGCCATGGCACATCCCAACCGTATATGAAATAGCACAGTGAGATGAATTTGCAGGGGCACCCTATAATGTGTCTCACACATGCTTGATGGCACATCTCAACCGTGTATAGAGAATATCTTCAAATGATAATATGGAGTTATTTCTAATGCAAACTAAGATGTGCTTGTAGGGCACCTATAAAATGCTTCGTGGGGTCCAATCTTACATCTCCATACAAATGTACAGCTTGTTTAATTTCACCATGATGAATGTTCTCATCAAACAATTCTTAGGTGGCGTTTGATAAATCTGAAATATTAAAAAGATATTTTTTGTATTTGAAATCTGAAAATGAGCATATGTGCTTTTCTAGTTTTTAGAGGCTTTGAATCCATAAGTTTGTTTGTGTTTGATCAATCATTTACCATCTGAAATTTACTGATTTTACTATTTCACCCTTATAACATACTATTTGGAAATGTTGATTTCAATTTGCATTATCTCATAAAAATTAATTTTCAACTTCAAAATAATATTGAAATAATATAAATAAAAAACAATTAATTAATAATTAATAAATGGGATGATTAAAATTAAAAAATAATTAATGACTATAAAATATTAAGTTAATTAATAATTTAACAAATAAAAATTAAAATATTATTTAAAAAATAATGAATTAATTAAAAAGTACTAGTTAATAAAATAATTAATAAATAATAAATAATACAAGTAAAATTGATAAAAATAATTAATACAACTAATTTATATATTATTATTAGTATTATTATTATTACTCACCGAACCACCACTACCGCAAATTGCAACGGTGGGGTGGAGGGAAGACAGGGGAGAGAGAGAGAGAGAGAGAGAGTCATTGCAAGTTGCAGCGGCGGTGGCGGGAAGACAGGGGAGAGAGAGAGAGAGAGTCATTGCAAGTTGCAGCGGCGGTGGCGGGAAGATAGGAGAGAGAGAGAGACGTCGTTGCAATTCGTAGCGGGAAGACAGGGGGAGAGAGAGAGACACCGCTACAGCGGCGGTGGCGAGAAGACAAGGGGAGAGAGAGAGAGAGAGATGTATGAAGACGATAGAGAGATGTCGAATGGGGATGGGTATTTTTGACTTTAGGCCATGTCTAAAATGTGTTAAGTGATGGACCTAAGTTTAAAAATTTCAGATATGAAAAATCTTTTCAAACCCTATTTCAGATGCAACACCAAACAAAGGTGGCGTCTAAAAAACAACATGTTCAGATTAAAACGTTTGAAAAGTACGATCAAGTGCCACTTTAGTTGTGATGAAAATAAATAGGAATTCAAGACTGAAATTCACCTTTGTTCTCATTTTGAATACATAACATGTATATACTTTATAAGGCCCTTAGGGCTAATCCATTCACCTATTCTAGGTAATCATTTTTTTTCTTTTTTTTTGTTGCAATTAAAATTTCAATTGTTAAAAAAATCAAGGAGTACATAAGGAGGAATAATCTAAACTAACTCATGGTGAATTCCCCAAAACTTTGTAGCTAAAGTATGAGAAATAAAGTTTAAAGATCTATGCACATGAAATAAACATAAATCATCAAAACTACCAGTAACATTCTTAATGTCAAATATATCTGGTTGAGCAGCCCATGAAGAAGAGAGCAATGTCTCTCACAAGGCAGTAATCACGTTGAGATTGTCATTTACCACAAGATTTTTTGATGATGAAACGACGAACAATGCTTTAAAGTAGAAAGAATAGTCATCTAAGTAACCATTTCTTGTACAATGATAAATGAAATAAAGTCTAAAGCTAAAGACCAGGTTTGCTTGGATTCAACAACCAAATTGTTGATTGACCATGGTGGTTGTATATCATCCACCAACAAACATCAAATTATAGATGAGGCATCACTTTCAATTGCAATATAGGGATACCCTATTCCAATGCTAATTTTAGTTCCTCAAGAAGAGCCATTGCTTCAGTCACTAGAGGATCCCCTTTATTAAAAGGAACTACACACACAAAGATGCAGGCCCAAATAACTTCCGGCCCACTTGAAGAAGTCATACCAACAGCTCCGTCCACATTGATCTTAATAACACCTACAGACAGAGGAATCCATCTAGTCCTTCCTAAAGGTGTAGGAGGTGGCAATATAGGATACTCTGTTTTAGTCCTCATACGATTACTGACTTCACAATGCTGCAAAATGTTGGATGCAAATACATGAGCCCTAGCAAGAACGCAACTGGATTGAATAGAATTGTTCTTATATTGAAATTTGTATTTGTTGTCATTTTAAATACATAAATACATTATTCAGTAATTCAATTCTTCCCAAGCACTTGAAAAACTGACACACACACACACACACACACACACACACATATATATATATATATATATACATGGAATAGGTATTTGTACTCCCACAAATCATTCAAGAAAGTTACAAACCCAATAAAATTTACAAAGAAGTACGGACAGGCCCAATGTAGATTCCTGATTTTCACTACAGAGCTATAAACATTCAAAATGTCAAAAAATCACACTCTATGCACTCATACCCGCCCGTAAATTGGCATAAATTCCGAGATGGCACCTACCCCAAATGTACTTTGAGCCTACAAATTCTGACCCTGGGCTGAACCGTCATTCTCCCTAAAATTTATACATAGCCACTTACTCACTTATGGGCAGTAACACATAGCACCCCCCCCCAATCTTTTGAGTTCCAGCATTTTACCCCCATTGTTTGCATTCCTTCAATTAACCTTGGATTACACATATGTTATTTACTTATTTTGACTATTTTTAGCATGTTTTTTTTTAATTATAACTTACACATGTTTCTCTCAACTTTCTTTCAATAAAGTTCATATTGAATGCGTATTGAGGCCATTTTTGAGAGTGCTTATTTGGGCTATTAAGCACTTACTGCTATTTGGGAAATAAGCCCAAAATAAGTGCTTATTTTAAAACTAATGGCTTGTTTTTTAAGCCCAAATTTCCAGTTTTTTTTAAGTATCTATATAATAAGCACTTATTCAATTTTTTCTTCCAAAATTATCACTAAATAAATTTTAAAATACCACCTATAAAATTATGCCTAATTGAATTTTACAAAAGCACTTCATAAAAGTGCTTTCATAAAGGTACTTTCACAAAGTGTTTTTTGATAAAAATAATTTAGTAAAAGTGCTTTCATAAGGATATATTTTGAAAATTTGAAAGAAAATAGTCGCAAATACTTATTTAAGTGCTTATTGGAGAAAAAGACTGCCAAACGTGTCAAATGCAAATAAAAAGCACTCCCAAACATGGCCTAAGAACAATCAATTCATCAAGTTCAAAGCAATCTATATATATATATATATATATATATATATATAAAGCGGTCAAGAAATTTTATAATTTTTTTGAATTTTTTGTTTTTTTTATTCCATGCCATTTTTTAAACAATCAATGAGAGTTTCTCTCATAAATTATCTCTAATTCCTATTTATCCTCTCCCCTACTTTTTATCTATATCTATCTAAAGAAAGTTTGGATTAAAAAATTTAAGAATTATTTAAATATTCTAACAAAATTATATAATAACTTTAAAATATTTATTAAAATACAAAAATAATTTTATATTTTTATAAACTATATCACAAAATTATGTACTAACAATTTAAATTATGTTTTTTTCCAGATTATCAATTTAAATGCTTTTCAAATACTTAATAATATGTAATAGCTTTAAATAAGTAAAATTCAAATAACAAAAAAATTAAATATTTTATAGATTATTTAAATAACTAGATATTTATCATAGCTATATTTTAAAAATAAAATAACAAAATTATCTAATAAATAAGTTTATATTTTTACAAAATATATCACGAAATTATGTACTAATAATTTAAATTATGTTTTTCCGGATCATTGATTTAAATGTTTCTCAAACATTTAATAATATGTAATAGATTTAAATAAATAAAATTCAAATAACAACAAATTTTAAATATTTTATAGATTATTTAAATATTTATCACAGCTATATTTTAAAAATTAAAATAACAAAATTATCTAATAAATAATTTTATATTTTTACAAAATATATCACGAAATTATGTACTAAGAATTTAAATTATGTTTTTCCGGGTC